ATTTTTTTTAGTTCTTTTATAATATTTTTTATTAAATTTGTTATATTTTTTCTTTCGTTTTTAGACCATTTTTGTAAAATATCAAATATAATATTTTTTACAATGATAAGTAAATAATAAAAAACTAATTTTTATTTAAAAAGGAATTATAAGAATAATTTAATTTCTGTCATTAGTTCTTCAAAAAAAACTACACTATTATAGTTTTTTTATTAACAAACAACTTACAATGAGATTAATAAAAGTTATGGTAAATGGAATTAAAAATTAGAAGAGGAATATATCGAACGAACTTTTCTGTGTATTTTTGTTTTGTTGGCTTTCCTTATGACCTCCGCCGAGCATTCCGAAATCGATCAAATTTAATGTATTCGGTTCCTTTTTCGGTGGTTCGCTCGTACTTTTTGATGTGTTACTTCCACTCGAAAAGCTTGAGAAAATGTCGAACGTATCATTTTTAGATTCAATTGTTTGTGTATTTTGTTTGTGTTGACCAAACACATCAAAATCGATTTTTGACTCGCCTTGTCCGCTTTCGTTCTTTTGATCAGCTATGACTAACACAATTTCTTCTTTCTGTTCTTCCAAGTCGATCTTTTGGACTTGACTCACCTCAAATCCAACTTGTGGTGGCACTTCCTTTAGTTCTCCAATTTGTCCAAAAGTGTCTTGAATCGCCTTATTTGATTTCACTTGAATAGTGACCTTCTCGTTCTCACCGATTTCAAAATCCTCAACTTCCACATGACTCTCCTCTTCTAGTTTCTCCTCTCTCCCTTTCTCCTCTTTGTGAGTCTCTTCAATCGCTTCTTTAAATTCCATCGCATCCCCTCTCTCAGAAAACCCGGCTCCTATGATCGCCTTTCTCCCTCCATTCGTCTCCGTCACATTCACTATAAAAAATCGACTACTGTCATTCACTGGCTCCACCGCACCTGTACTGATCTCACTGAAGCAAAACGGCACACCACTTTTATCACTAAAAATAACTCGAAGCTTAGTGTCCCTCTTCACTACTTGGCAGTCTCCTTTCCACATAAAGTCGTCTTGTTTCCACTCACCAGCGCTTCAAATTACTTCCTCTCCTCTCCGTCTTTCGTATAAAACAAACTTTCGATGGACTTCCCCGTTTGTTCCAACAACGCGGAATATCATGCTGTCCTTTTTGAAGAGAACGGTGTCTTGGAAGTCGTTCATCACCTGCTATTATGAGTTCTTCGAGTAAAACAATGAACGCACTTTTCTTATGAAAAAAAGACGATAGGAAAACTAGTCAATACTAACAAATTTGTTATAAATTATAGAATTTGTCTTCAAACCACAACATCAAAAAAAAACTCACATGTTATAGGATCTGGCACTTCTTCTTGTCTTTCTTTGGTTTCTCTTTCTTCTCCGCCTCGACGACACACCCTTCGAATAACTCTTTGTGTTCTGTTAAAGCTCTTTTGATATAGTCGTTGAAGTCTGTAATCATTGCGTTCTTTTGTGCTTCGTCGAGTAAATTGTACTCTTTGATAGGGCAGTCCTTAGGCACAAATGACTCAATTGATTGTTTGATGTTGTCTGTGTCTTCTTTGTCGGAGTGAGTAATGATGATATAACGATAAAATGGTGTTGTGTTATGATCGACATCACCTATCTCTTTGAAGAACCCATGTAAGAAGTCTCCCGAGTCTGCTTCTGTTCGAGAAGCAACGTAGAAATGGATTTTGCCTTTAGTCAGGATTTGGTTCGTTGTTGTTCGTGTGTCCAACATTGATTCACCACAACTGTCATACTTCTTGTTATTCTATTAATACTTTACAATAAATGGAACAACAAACAAAAGTGAAATGATATTGTTTCTCATTGAATTTGAGTTGAATGGATGTCTCTGTTTCAGTGGTAGTCGGTTCATACTCCGTCGGAAGGGCTTTACCCTACTTATAAATATACTCACACTAAAACTATCAGAAACAAACATTAAATGCATCAACAACACACGTTTTCCCAACTTTGGGCATTCCTAACAGAACAATTCCAACACTTTTTTTCCTTGAAGTCAATATCGATGAAATGAAGTAGACAAATTTTAAATGATTCGACTAGACAAACTCGGTAGACATTTGTATTATTAGCAGTTCTTTTCATCTTTTCCACTTTTTACTATTTTTAATAATATCGATTTTAAAAATTGTAGTTATGTCTTTTCGGTATTGATTCGACGATATTTTTTGGTTTTTTTATTTTGTGATTTTTTATTTTTATTTTTGTATAACATTTGACCTCAAATTTTGCTTTTCTTTCTTTATAATTTTTTTATTATTTTGGAAATCATTATAATTTTGTAATTCTGTTTTTTATTATATAATAAAATTAATTTAATTAATAACTAATAACATAATTAAAATTAATAATAACAAAAACTATTTTGGAATTATTAATTGAAATTATAAAAACAAATTTTTTGTCTTGAAAATGTTCAAGACAAAAAATAAATGTATTATTTTTATTAACAATTTTATTATTAAATATAATACATCAACTCGTATACTACTAAATCAATCCAATTAGAATCAATCGACTTCACTGCTTTTGTTAAACCTTTTCGACTTTTTTTGGCTCATTTTGTTCTTCTATTTTATCTTCAGCTTTTTTGACTTCTTTTTCTTCTTCGATTTTAGTTGGGCAATCCTTACTCAAATGTGTATGACTTCCACAAATAAAGCATTTCTTCTCTGTGAGACCGACTCCACTTGTCTTCCCGATAGGAGAGACAGCTGTCGCGTCAATTAATAAAACATGTCCATCCAAATTCGCTTCGCTCATTTCGTTATAAGCGACAACGGCTTGTGCTTGATCGACGAAATCGACATATCCGACCCCCCGCGAATTGCCGTTCAAGAAAGTTGCGACAAAAGCTTGTTTAGGGTTATACTTCCTGAAGAGTCTTAACAAGTCGACCGACTTATACACTGTCGGCAAGTTACGTACAATCAATGTGTAAAGCATCTCCTCCTTCTCAAACAGCATAGTCCTCTCGAGTTCGTTTCTTCTGATCTGTTCTTCTTTCGAGACGACAGACTTTGTCAATGCGTACCCAAACGTCGGTTCCGATATGTCCATAGTCATCTTTTCATTCTTTTTTTTCAGTGTTTTTCCAAATTCGATCACTTCTTTGTTGTCTACTTCGACAGGAAATGCTATATCAAACTGACCTGGAAATTTGAGCTTCGTCACAAACAGTGGTTTAAACTCCTTAAAAATCTCTATCAATTGGTCATCTGTGTAATGGAGTCTCAAGTTTCTTAACATGCATTTCTTAAAATACGTTCCAAGCTTGTCAGCGTCCTTATTGGCTACAGTTCGTGCGTCAAAACTGTTAATTATATCATAATTAATTTTAGAATGTTTCTTATTATACTTCTCGCCTCCTTCTCGGTCATGTCTTCGAGTGTCATTCATCTTCTTTTCATTTCCTTTATACTCACGAGTTTTAGTATCTTTCCATCTGGAATTCTCTTTTGTTGAATGTTCAGTACTTTTCTTGTTAGGGTGTTGGTATGTACTCTTTTTGGTCATCGTATTTAAACTCGAAGATATTTCCTTTGGTTTCTCATTGTCAAATGCTTTCATTTTCGATATCTCAAACCCTGCGCCCTTCTTCTTTTCTTCTTGAAATACTACTTGTGGGGTTTTGTCCTTTTGCTTCGTCGCTTGCACATCCTTGACAACTTCCTTCTTTTTTTCTTGCTTTTTATTCACTTGTGGTGGCGCCGGTTTGACTTCCTTTTTTACCTCTTCACTACTTTCGCTGTCGCTTGAAGACCCTTCTGAAAATAAGTCTAAGCCGTCGTTCTCCTTACTCATATCTTTCTTATTTTTCAATTCTCAAACCCTAAAAAAACGCTTTTATATTTCTTTGCTTTCATTGCAATATACAACAGTATTAACTATAGTATATAGTTAATTAAAATATATTTAAATTATACAGAGGAGTCTATCTAATTAGTCTATTCAATTACTTTTATTCGTCATTTCTTGAACTCAAAGGCGTCCAAGTACTTCTGAAATGCGTCTTTTTGCCCAATCTCATTCACTATGTCAAATATAATATCGTCGCATTTGCCAAGTAATTTCAAGTCGTCTTTGTAATTGAAATCACCGACGTCTTCCATGTTAATTAAAACACGAGGTGTTCCCAATTCTGGCATTTCTGCAAGTGAAGCAAATGGTTCTACCACGAGGGAAGTCCCAATACAAATGAGTAAGTCGCAGTCTTTGACATATTTAAAACTATCGAAGAACCTTTTGGGTAAGTTCTCTCCAAAGAAGACGATGTCTGGCTTGATCACGCCGCCGCACTTACATTTCGAGACCTTCCCCAACATGACGTCGTCGATGAATTCATCTTTTTGAACCAATTTCTTGCACTTTAAACAGTGACCGGTGTTGTAATGTCCATGTGCAAAGACGGTCTTGTCATCGGGGATATTCGCGACGGTCTCCAGACCGTCGATGTTTTGAGTGAAGAGCATCGAGAGGACTTTCAAGTTGTTTAAGAAGCCCACAAAGTGGTGCGTTGGTGTTGGAAAGTACTTTCCGATACCTGGCATCAATTCCTTCGCAAGTGTATAAAACGGTTGTGGGTTTTCTTCGAAGTAATCGATGTCAAAGACTGCAGTTGGATAGGGCAAATCATATTTCTCTAAATTGTCATATAACCCCGTCCCAGGCGTTCTGAAGTCTGGTATACCAGCAGACGTCGACATCCCTGCACCCGCCATTACTACTATTTTCTTTGGATGTTTAGCTTTCATATACAGTCCAAAGCCTTTAATGTTTCTTGGAATGAATGGTGGAAGGGATGTGGAGTACTTCTGATGCAAACTCAATGGAAACTCCTTGGCACACTTTGTGCAATGATACCCAAGTTGATTTGCAAATACAAAGTGGTTGTGTGTAGCGCTACACGATCCACAAAAGCCTTTATTACACGTCACACAAACTAAGTCGGCTTTTTCTTTACAATCTGTGCATTTGTTTATAATCGCCTTAGGCCCAATGGGATGCAGATCATGAGGAAAATGTTCACACGCCATATCGATTGTTCATTTTCAGTTTTGATGTGTTTCATTGACAATAGTGGTTCAAATCTTTTTATTCGAATTATTATTATAGTTTAAATATTAATATTAAATTTAATATTTTTAAATATTAATTTGTTGTTTAACAACTGTATTTTTAATGTTAAAACAATGTAACAAGTTTTAATAAATGGAAATAAATACAAAGGAGAAATGGAAATACAAAATTTTCCTTTAATTAGAAAGAAGTTGACTCAAGATTGATTTAATAATATAAAACAATTATTAATATAATCACACAATTTCATTGAAATTAAAAACTTGATGGTTTATAATGTTATTTGGTTATAAAACATTAACAATATATCAGTGGGGAAAATTATTACTGTCATTGACCACATGTTCATTTGTTTTTTAAATTGATAATCATTAAATCCAAATTATTATCCATTTTTTAATCATTGGAATCAAACAAATTTTTTAAAATAATTAATTAATTTTTTTTGTGATAAGTTGTTAAATTAATTTATTAAAGTGTCGGGTTTAATACAACAATAATATGTCAATGATTCGAACGTTTTTGAATACAACAATGTTAAATTCACACCACATCATCATATACTTGTGAATAGAAACTTTTTTGTTCAAGTTAATCATGTTATATTGAAAAAGTTGTAAGTGAAATCTGTTTTGTATTTGTGTGTTGTGTTTGATAATAAACAACTATTTTAAACTAAAAATATTAAATTAATGAAATGTTTTGTTGTATAAAAAAGAGAATAGAAAAGTAAAATGTGAATGAATTAGAAGCACTTTCTGTGGACGATGGCTGGGCCAGACTCGTCGTACTCTTCCTTGGTGATCCACATGTTTTGGAAAGTGGACAATGAGGCAAGAATTGAGCCTCCGATCCAGACAGAGTACTTTCTCTCTGGTGGTGCAATGACCTTGATCTTCATTGTTGGTGGGGCAAGAGCAACCATCTCCTTCTCGAGTCTGTCGTTGATGCCTGGGTACATAGAGGTTCCACCAGACAAGACGATGTTTCCGTACAAGTCCTTTCTGATATCGACATCGCACTTCATGATTGAGTTGTAAGTTGTCTCGTGGATACCTGATGCTTCCATACCAAGGAATGATGGCTGGAAGAGTGCTTCTGGGCATCTGAATCTTTCGTTTCCGATAGTGATGACTTGACCATCTGGAAGTTCGTATGATTTCTCGAGTTCTGATGATGAGGCAGCCTTCTGCATCTCTTCGTTGAAGTCAAGAGCAACGTAGCAGAGCTTCTCCTTGATGTCTCTGACAATTTCTCTTTCAGCAGTTGTGGTGAAAGCATAACCTCTTTCAGTCAAGATCTTCATGAGGTAGTCGGTGAGATCACGACCAGCAAGATCAATTCTGAGAATGGCGTGTGGGAGTGAGAAACCTTCATAGATTGGGACGCAGTGAGAAACACCGTCACCAGAATCCATGACGATTCCAGTGGTTCTACCAGAGGCATACAATGAAAGGACAGCTTGAATTCCAACGTACATGGCTGGGACGTTGAAAGTCTCGAACATGATTTGTGTCATCTTTTCTCTGTTAGCCTTTGGGTTCATTGGGGCTTCAGTCAAGAGGACTGGGTGCTCTTCTGGTGCAATTCTGAGCTCGTTGTAAAAAGTGTGGTGCCAGATCTTCTCCATGTCGTCCCAGTTGTTGACAATACCGTGCTCAATTGGGTATTTCAAAGTCAAGATACCTCTCTTTGATTGTGCTTCATCTCCAACATAGGTGTCCTTGTTGCCCATACCAGCCATGACTGAGACTTGTTTTGGTCTGCCAACAATTGATGGGAAGACAGCTCGTGGTGCGTCATCACCAGCAAACCCGGCCTTGCACATACCGGATCCATTGTCTACAACAAGTGCTTGTACTTCTCCTTCTTCTCCCATTTGAATGTCTTCTTCTTTCAAGTTTGTAGCTTATATATTGTTTGGTTAAAGTTTGGTGTTAGAGTTATCGTTAGTCAGTTCTTTCAGTTCGCCGAATAGTTTTGATGTTTTTGTATTGGTTTTTTTTAATAGTTTCCATATTATTAGAAATAGATATTATAAAAAACATCCCATAATACATGAAATGTTATTTGATGGTGTTACTACACGCGTATTTAAAAAATGTTATTCAAGAAATTCAACAAACAAAAAAAATCAATAAAAAAATATAACCACTTTCAACATTGTTTTAGTTGAAAGTATTTAGAGTCTCCCTTAATATTGGGTTGATAAGGAGACATATATAGGATTTAACTCCACAGTGTATAATACAGCTGTGGGACACTGAAACACGCTTGTCAGTTGAGCATTGGGAAATTGGTTATTCCCCATTGCCATATAAAAACAAGGTGTGTCCATACTAAGTGAATTGGTTTGAACCGATGTATCGGTTTGTTTTTCATCTATACCAGAAGACTGTGTTTCTTGTGTATTAGAAACGCTAGAACTCTGTTGATAATCATAAAGGTTTTCGGGTTCAGTTATCAGTGTGTTGTAGAGTTGGCATATAGAAAGGTTATAAGGATCTAAAGTGGCCAAGTTTTGCCTTCTCGCGTAGTGTGTCTTAGGAAGTGCTCTGATAATGCCAATCACACCAACCCCAAATTCTTTGAACCCCTTCTCAGAAAATGGGCCCATCCGTGCATACTTCACTTGTCCTATTTGTTTCTTGCTTGAGTGTGTTTTTCGTGCTTCAGAGCCCAATTCAAAAGTTTCAGCCAGCCATCCTGCAATAAAATTATATATTTGGGCGTCTTCATTCTTCTTGGTCTTTCTGTCCGCATCAACAATCCTTGCAAACGACGGAAACAACGAAGAAGATGTTATTGTGAAGTGGTCAAAGTTGATGAAACTTTTGTTGTTTAAAACAGGACACTTGATTCCAAAGGATGCACCATAACAATTGGCAAGACCAATAAGTGCTGCATTACTTATATACTCACGCTGGGTGCTTTCTCTTTTAGAAATGGTGTTTTTCTTTAAAGACGAGCTTGACTGGGACAATTCCATCTGTGTCACTTTTTTAATGAGTTTACAGTAATTTTAGTAACTTTTTATTCCAAAATTTCAACTTTAAATTTTTCACTTTATTATAATTATTATAAAAAAACTATACATATAATTCTTTAACGCTTTTCGATTGTTGAGGAATTATTAAAATAATTTAGAATAATGTTTTAAGACTGAAGCCAGTCCCAAAAAGTTTTTTTCGTCAATTTTAAATAAAAATGTCCCAACTTACGGGAAGAGATAAGTCCAAAAAATATTAAAATATAACTATTCATAAACTAAATAACCAATAACACAACCAATAACATAAATAAGGTTTAGACCGTTTCACCAATCATTTTCAAACATTTCAAAATTAATAAATACAGTTGATTTGGTAATATTTTTGAACAAAATAACGGGGAAATGTTGCTAACAAACGAAGTGGAAAATTTATAACATTTTTCAAAAATAATCACTTAAAAACTGACTGTATGAAACTACACGATTCTCTTTCCTTAACGTTCACGACGCATTTTTTTCTTTAATTTTCATTTAGTAATTATTCAGTTACAGTCGTTTGATTCATTGTTGTATTCGGTTGTTTAGTGCGTGTTCGTTTATACGTTATACATGTCTACATAATTTTTGTTTACGTCGCGTAGCAAATAAATAGTTTTATTAGTTGATGTAAAAAGCGTTGCTTCTTTGTTTTTAAACTGAATTGTTGACAATCAATTTTATTATTTTTTTGGTTTTTGTAGCTGTGTGATACATTTAAAATTTATGTGGTTTATTTAAACCATTGCATGTAGTTTTTGAGTTGTGAATAAGAAAAAAAAATCAACCAATCAATATCAATTTATATGGTTTTAAGACTGAACTTATAAAAAACTCTGAAATAACTCAAAACACAATTTTAATAGTTATTTTAATTATTTATTTATACTATATAACAAGTCATTGCAATTGTTGAACCCCAAACGAATTAAAATTCAATCAATAGTTCGGTCTGAAGTGTCCGTTCTTCTTCATCCTGACGTATGTTTTCTTTTTCCTCTTCATTGCGATTTCCTTTTCTTTATCCGTTCTTGGCTTCTTCTCTTCATTTTCCTTTTCTGCCTTTGATATGAGTTGTTGGATCTTTCTTGTTCTCTTAAACTTGTCATCTCCTATTTTCGAGAAACTGACGACCTCCTTGACAAACGCATTCTTGGCGTATTCAGCAAGACCAATTGGTTTGTACAAGTCTGTTTGCAGACGATCTTTGACTTCGACAAATGATTTGTGAATCGACTCGACGATACCTTCCTTCAAGTATATGACCATGACATCCGCCAACAGCTTTTTTGCGTCTTCGTTGGGTTGTTTTGCTTCTTCGATATAAATGACATCGTTTAAGTAATCGTAATAGAAGTCTGCAATTTTAACAGAGATGTTAATAGACTGTGGGAGTTGATTCAGTGGCAAGAACTCGTTAAATAAGAACTCGTTCCATTTCTGAATTTGGTCCAAGTCCCATCCACAATTCGCAATATACAACAAATACTTCTGAATTAATTGACACAACAAGCGCTCATACTTCTTAATACGAACATAGTCTATTGTATCCCAATAATGTTCTAATGTGACCATCCCAGCTTTCACATAGTCCAACACATGTGCTGGCTTAAAGTTCACTGTTGTCATGAAAAGGGTTAATTCGTTTCGAACGGTTTGTTGATAAGGTCTTCCGTCACTATGCCAATACCCTAATAATAAGTCCAGACATGTTTTCTTCTTCTAAATATATTATAATATGTATTTTATATAACGGAATGACAAACAGAAATAAAGTCCAATCCACACTTCTAAAAGTTGTTCATACGTTGTCTCGTCTTTCAAAATAAAGGCCTTTGTTTCCACCCATGCGGCGTCGCGGACGGCGGTGTCCTCGTTTGATAGTCTCTGGCTTAGAATCTCGCCTAGTGTGTGTTTAGCTTCCATGAAAAGTAGTTTAGGGTTTTACAAGAAGACCTTCAACGTGATTCTCTCAGACCACATTCCATTAATACTCATCATTATACGCAATTCTTTCATTTGTTACTAACATTAAACAATTATAGTATATTAATAATATAATTATAACTTACCATTAGCATTTATATTAATAGTTTATTTAATAAGAAAAATGCCATATAAAGAGCACTTTTTACAGACAACGACATTATTTGTAACTGTTTTTTTGAATATAAAATAGAGTAAGACGTCAAGGAGAGCAAACTGTATAATTTTTAATTGTATTATATTACTATAAATACTATTTGAGTCAGTCTCTTTTCTTTTTGAGAAAAATGGATGTATAACTTAAATACCACATGAGTAATAACAGAGGAGAGCAACCGACATTAAAAAAGAGATGTGAAATGAGTGCGGAGGTTCTTGCAGTGCTCCGATCAAAAAGACGGGAAGACGCACTGAATGCGGTTCGCCTTGAATCGATCAATTTGATGTCTTGCAATGAAGAAGAGTTGCCATCTATCGAGACGATGATAGAAACGACTCAAAAAGCAATTCATGGGGATATCTCCAGTTTAAAACTTCTCCAGACGTTCTTTTCGTCGAAGTGCTTTGTCTACAACAACTTAATAATGAAGTACCAATGGTGTGCCACACTTTTAAATTCGCCGTTTAACTCCAACAATGAATACGCCCACTATGTGGTACTCTTTCTAGCTTCGTACACACAGTCCAACCACCACGAATATTCAAAAGACCTTGTTACTGCCAAAATAGGAGATTATTTCTCCTTTTATTTCAGTAAAGGTGGTGAAATAGCACGGGCATTGCTGTGGTGTGTCTCTAATGTCAGCAGTGAAGGGACTCTTCTCGCAGAATATTTTCTGAATGCGGGGATAGTCCATTACGCGCTTGAATATTACAAAACAAATCCCGTGAATAACCAGACGATTGTGTGTTGGCTCTTCTCAAACATATTCATCACACGTGTACTGTACAACTTAGAGATCATACGAGAGATCTTTATGTTCCTTGTCTCTTCACTGAACTCGACGAATGTGGAGACTGTCAAATATTCTCTCTGGGGAATTAGTTATCTAGCAGAAACAACAAGTTACGAAGAGTTGGTTTTATCAAAGGAGTTAATAAATAAAGTGATTGAGCTTGTCCAAAGCAAATACGAAATTATTGTTCTCCCTGCAATGAAATTCATTGGAGCGCTTTCGACCAAAAGTGATCGCGTAAGCTTTATATTGATCAACTGTGGGATATACGAAGTGTTACAAAAGGTGATCATAACCAACTTACAGAATGAGCGAATACAACAAGTGGTGTATTGGTCCATTTCAAACATGATTGGAACGTCTGATGTGTCACTAGCATATCCACTCTTCACTAACACTCAAATACCACAAATGATTTATGAAACAATGAAATCAGTCGACAACCCACCCGCTTTAGAAAAGGAGTTACAATACCTATTGGTCAATTTGGTCTTCAACAAAGACGATTTGTATCTTCAATTGGTCATCAGTAAAATACCCGGAATCGGCCAGTTACTCGTCGAAACGTTATCAAAAGACCCGCGACAAACTCTCGTCAATATGTTAGTCATCGGCATATACAACATATTAATGTTTTACATCAATCAAAACGTCATGCCTTCCGATGTTATAGACATGACAAGTTTAGTAACCGCCCTTCACAAATACGAACATGTTTGTTATTATAATTATTATAATTATTCTATTATTATTATTATTTTAATTATTATTACTAAGATCATTAATTACTGATTCTTCAATACAATTGACGGGCAGGAGACTTTCCTCTCGGAGCGTGTACGACTGTTTATACGAATGATTTTAGACTCAATTGAAGAGTCGAGTGTCATTGAGTGATTTTTTAGTCGTTACAAATTCGAACAAAAACACTCGAAAGAGTTAATAACAGAGTACATCGCGTAATGCTTCACGTCACTGCGACATCTTTTCAAAGAATGCAAGTCTGTCCTTGATTCCCGTTCTTTTTGGTAAAGGAGTGGGTTCCTTTGTTTGTTCCATTGGCTTTCTTGGTGATTCAATTTGACTGATTCGTTGGAAAGTCTTTGGTAATGTCTTTTGTGTTGCCATGAGCTTATCTTTACTTTGCGCTGTTTCTTTACTGTCACTTGGGCTTTTCTGGTGTGTTTTCGCTGCTTTGTGGTGGTGTTTAGCACTATCGTCCGTCTTCTTATTCTCTTCGACATTGAGTTGAAGTTCTTTTTTGTGCGTTTCATTCTCTTGAGGACTCTCAAGTTCAATTTGTGGAACAGCAATTTTATCGTTAGAATCACGAGTTAAATTTGAAACCGAACTTCTCGTTGAAGTCATTTCTGTTGCAATTGATGTGACAGTTTCTGCGTGTTGTTCCAACTGTCTTTCAGAGAGTTTGTCGACGGTGACATGGAGATTCGTATTTTCCCGTCTCAGCTCAGCAATTTCATTCTCCAACATGTTCATCTGAGTTTCACGTTCTTTTCTTTCTTGATTCTCAACGTCTTCTTTCTCTTCAATTTCGACTTCTCGGCGTTTCTTCTGGTCTTCCATATTCCGAATTACCTCGCGCTGTTTCTCATTTTCATTTTGAAGTGTTTGAACTTCTTTTGTGTATTCTTCATTCAACTTTTGAGCATTTGAGAGCAGTACATTCAATTCCTCAATTTTAGCAATCAACTCTTTGTTCTCTCTTTCAACATTACTCGACTCACCCTCACATTGTTCATTCCTTTCCAGTGTATCCATTGAATCAACTCCTTCTTTCTTTGCGTGTTGTAATTCACTGTTTTCCTTTTCAAGTTCTTCATAGTGTTCTTGAAGCTTCTCTAATTGGACTTTCAATTCGGTCTCATTCGACAATATCGCTTCGCTCCCTTCTCTCATCTTGAGGAGTTCCTGTTCCTTCTCATCAACACTTTTCATCAATTCACCAATTTTTTGATTCAGTCCCTCACTCATCTTTTTAAGTGCATTATTCTCTTCAAGCAAAACATTTGGATTCACTTCAGTGCTTTCATAATTCTCTTTGTTATTCACCAATTCACCAATTCGCAATTTCAGTCGTCGATTCTCCTCATCTAACATGTTCAATTCGTTTGTTAACACTTCAAGTGCTTTTGTCCGTTCATTTTCAAGTTGTTCCTTTTCGACTCGTGGATCGTCCACACCCTCTCCTTCATTCTCCGAGTTCTCGCTTGTAAATCCCGACCCACTCGAGAGTCTCTCCTCCTTCATTTTGTTCACAGACTCCTCCAATATTTTGATCCTCCCACTCATCTCGTTCTTACTCTTCTCAAGCAGTGTGTTCGAGTTCTTGAGCTCGTTTATTTCGTTCTTAAAAATTTCGTTCTCCTTTCCAACGTTTTCGTTGTGTTTCATTTTGTCCAGTAGTTCAGTGATTTGTTCACTTAATCTCATATTCGACTTCTTTGTTTCGTTCATTTCGACGAGCACACAGTCTTTCGTTGTCTGCAACGTTTTCTCAAGCTCTGAGTAACGACTTTTCAATTCAGTGTTTTCCATTCGCAAGCGTTTGTTCTCTTCCACCATTTCCATTTCATTCTGGTGGTCATTAGAGGCGCTCATTCGTGTGACTTCCGTCAATCGATTTTGCAGCTTCAATATTTCGTTCGTCTTATCTAAGCACTCCTGCACTTTCAAGTCTAATTGACTCTTCGTTTGATTGAGCAGTTCGTCCTTTTCTACAATCGACTTTTCGGATCTCCGAAGTTTCTCGTCTAAGTTGTTGTTCTCTGAGCTGTACGAGTCTAACTCATCTGTTAACTTCGTCACCAAATCTTCCAATTCGGGATTTGGATTTAATTTGTCTTTTAATGAATTGACCTCGTTTTGTAACTCCGTGATATAGTCGACCTTCGACTCGAGTTCCTGAACTAATTTATTAGCCTTTTCATTGAGCATTTCAGACGTTTCTGCTTTCTCATGGATTTCACTTTGAAGTGCTTGAAGTGCCTTCTCTAGTTTGGTATTATTATCAAGTAACACACCCTTTTCTTCCTCAAGTTTCATGATGTCCTTAGTTTGAGTGACACTCTCTGCTTTCAGTTGTTCAACTTCAGAAAGAAGGTATTGCATCTCTTCAGTGTCGTTGTCGTCCTTCATACACTCCTTCATCTTGTCGTCAAGTATTTTATTTTGTTGTTTTGAGAATTGGAATTTCTCTTTGTTGCGTTTGAGGATGTCGAGAGAAGTGTTATTACATTCATATAAAGTGTCGATTAATAGTGCAAATTCAGAAGGAAACAAAGTCTTCTCATATTTTGAGACAAATTTGATGATATTGTTTTCAAGTGTTGTTTCGTCCGTCTCTTGTAACTCTTCTTTTGTGACAGATATAACATCATCAGAAATCGAATACTTTTGTTGGATCAGACAAATCATCTCTTCATTGGAAGATTCTCTTAAGCAATATAACTCTCCTGATTGTTTCGAAGACACATTAATAAGTTCAAGAATGATATTGAAAAGTGCTACATTTTGTTGACGAAGTTCCTTTTCCATTTCACTTTTTTAGTGTAAAAGTGGGGATTTTTTTAAAGTTTTTATTTTTTGAATAATCTTTTTTTTTCTGGCTTTCTATCAAATTCTCTGTTTTCAAAAAGATTTAGCGGATCATATCCATTATTTTTGAGAAATTTATTTGTTGATATAAAACCATTTTAGTCGTTAAATATAAATTTAATTTATTTATTTTATAATAAATATGAATTATAAATGTTTAATAGTATAAAAAGTATTGAATTACTTACCGATTACTTTTTTTTGAGTAAACAAAAAAAATATGTGAAATTTTTAATTATTATATTATTAAATTATTGAACTAATAATTTATAGTTAACTAATATCAACTATTACTATATTATCAATTCATCATTAAGAAAACTACAAAAACAATCATTTGAAATTTTAAATAATTTTTCAAAATTTATCAAAAATTATTCAATAATGATTTTTATGTACTGATATAAAAATATTATATTTTATAATTCATACTATGAACTTTTATAATGAAATCAAAAGTATAATTTTATTATAATTATAAATTATATATGCTAATAATTATATTATAATAAAACAATTAAATTAATTAATCAACTTTGTTTTTTTCAATAAGCTTTATTGAAAAAATTATCAAAACGAAAAAAAAAGTTTATAATTCCTCAATTTCTCAACTTTTTTATTTACTATTTTATAGTAATTTTATAATTATGAATTAACAACTTTTAAATTTCATATGAACGCAGAAGGACTTGAGTCAGACAATAACATCCGAGCTATAACAGAGGAAATCAATGGACTTATCGATCAAGTTGGGACAAATGTTGACGAGATCCAAACAATGGAGATATACAGAACAGTTCAAAAAGCCCTTCGTGAATTAGTGACGACAACCGACGTCACCCAGCTACTGAAGAATTTAGTGTTTACTTATAACAAACGACACTTAAGTCCTCAAACGTTTCCAATAGCTGTAACTGAAGTGTTTGAAACAGTGAAAGTGTCTTTAGTTAATGTGAACACATATATTGGAGCATGTAAAATGCTTCTTTCTCTTCTTTTAATAGCACCAGAGAAAGAAGCCATCGTCGAGTTAGTTAAAGACGTGACGAAGTATTTCTGTGAGGAGCTTTCAAGGCTTTGCGAGATCAACGAAGTCAAGAAGCCGATTTTTCTCTTCTTACTTAAAATCGTCAAAAAGCTTATTCTTCACTTTAAGTCGCCGACTCTGATTACTTCCAAAGACTTTTTAATAACACTCAACATCGTCGCAACAAAGCTGATTCTTCTCCAGAACTGTGAAATTGAATCAAAAGAATTGGACAGAACGATTGAGCTCTCCATACAAAACGAACAAGTTGTTTCTGATATGCCAACGTCATTGCCGTTCCCCGTGAACTTCAAATACGTCTTATTTTCAACTCTTAAACCGATCGAAAGACTCACATCAACTCTCATTCTATTGACACAAAGCGTTGTGATGACACAACAAATATACGAAGAAATGTATTGCAATACATTAGAGCATTTAGTGGAGTTGATGAAATCATTTTCAAAGCTTATTTCACTGTTAGACTTGTTCCTCACAGGCAATAGATTAGTTCAGTTGTTTTCCTCGAGAATTTTATATGTTGTACTTTCGTTGGTTCCGGTGCTCCAACGGAAATGCATTGTCGACACACTTCAAAATGACATTTCCGTGTTACTTGCGCTCTTACTTAATGATCCAGCGAACGATGAAATACTCAACGAAGTATATATTAAGTACTTGGGGGCACTTCCAGGCAACGACAATTTAGTGCGGTTCCTCTGTAGTCGTCGTGAGATCGGATTTTTCATTCGAGAAGTTGGGAATTTTGATATGCAGTCGATTGGAAATGTGGTGACGCCACAGACACTCCAATTTTTACCAAAAGAAGCACTGGTGTCGATCAGTGACGCAATTCGCGCGAAAATGCCATCTCTGACGGCTTCCCGAGTGCTCTCCGTTATTATGCGGTCACTCCCAAGTTACACACAAACTGCAGTGGAGAGGGGTGTTGGGGACACAATTGAATATGCTCCTTTACTTGTCTGTCTGAACAAAGAGTGTTGTCAAACGATCATTCGTGGATTTCAATGTGATGGACTGGAACATTGCTTTTGGCTTGCATTCTTTTTCAAATACGCCACAGTTGGTGAAGGCGAAGAAGTAAAAGAAGTTGGGGAAGGTCTGAAAGAGCAGTTCATTGCCTTTTTGAGAGCAGAGGCGACGGGAGAAGTGGTTCCGCTTGTCTCGAAGGTAGTTGTGGTCAACATCAGTAGTATTCAAGTGATAGAAGACATTGAGAAAATGATGTTGAATGCAAGGGAATTAGTTTTAAAGAATGGGGATGCTTCTGATGTGTGGAACAAATTCATCACAAAGGTAGTGGGGTGGAAAATTTGAATGTTTATTGTGTTGGTTGAGTGTGTTACGCCATCAAAAGTTGTTTGAATACGGTGAATATTTAAATTATTGAGTTACTCTGGTTTGGAATGTTCGTCTTGTGTTCTCCGACTCTTCCCTTGTTTGCAATATTTGTTTAATGCGGTTGTATACACCAAATGCATCTACTTGTGAGTTTTCTTGTTCAAACACTTTCAACGAATCGAACAAACCATATCAAAGCCATACGCTGCTTTCTCGACTAATTGTGAGTCTGTGTCATTCATCAATTGCAACACATCGACATACTCTTCGAATCCGTCAAAGTTTGTAACGAGTTCTTCAGGGAGTCCATTTTCTTTCATTTTAATAAAGTCGGTTGTGGAGAAGTTCTTCTCGATGTCCACAAATCTCTCGTCACATTCCGATGGTACAAAATTGATGAGGAAGAGGTGGAGGGTTTCTTTTAAGACCAACAAGAGTTGTTGGTAAGCTCCTATATTCTTAATTTGGGAGTGCACATGAATTGCTTTCAAAAAGAGTTTTGAGACGACGACAATTGTGGTTTCATTTGGTCTTCTCAAGAATTCGTAGAACAGTTGAGACGAGAAGAACGTGTTGATTCTTTTTTGTGTGAATTCGTCGTTGACCGTCAACAGGCGTCTCAACACATAAAACGAATTTTCAAGTCTGTCGAATGAAACGGTGTCAATCACTGTTTTGAAAACGACTTCTTGATACCAATCGTTACTCCCAAGGTTTAAACAGACTTCTTTTGAGAGTTTTATATCCATCAACTTCCTCACTACATACTTCAAATTTCTAAAGATGAAGCACTTCGTTTGATTTAAGTCGATTTCTTTCGCAATTTCTACACATGCCACTTCGTTTGTTGTCGGGTTTAAAAGACGTAGAATCAAGTGGAAGACGGGAGTGAAACTTATTTCTCGATATTCGTCTTCGTCGATCTCTGACGTTGGAAACCACTGTGAATACGCATTCGCTAAGCTTTTAAACACCTCCACACTCTCGGGAATTTGTTCAACCAAATTTCTGAAATCAAATTCTTGGACATTACACATGAAAGTGCTTATCCCAAGTTTGTTCATTTCTTTCCCTTCAACAATTGCATCCCGCGAAAAATCGTTTGAGAGTTTTAAAAATTTCAGCACAACAGCCGCCGCAGTTTGGCTTCTTACACTCGAGAGTCTTGCAAACAATTCGCAGACTAAACAAATGAACTCCGGACACTCGATCTTACATAGAGAGTAAAACGAGAAACACGTGTTAACCGTGTTGCACATCTCTATGAGGACATCTACGTTGTTCACAAATTGCATGAAGAAGTCGATGGCTTTGAGCACATTCAAACTTTTTAAAGGGTTTGGGTGTTTGACGAGTATCTCTTTTGCTATCCACAACACGTCATAGAGAGCTCGAGTGTTATCATCGAGAGCCCATTGTTTCAAGTTGTATGAAATCCTTCTCATCCCTTCAGGAGAAAATGCTCTTTGCTCAAGGTGTCTTGCTATGACAAATGTGAAGTAGAATTTCAACGTCTCAACTTCATTTTTGTACCACATCGCGTAACTCATTTCAATATCATTCCCCGCACATTCTTTATTCAACACTTTTCCAACATGTGGGTAGTCGATTTTAAAGTCGTCTTGTCTCTCATACACCAGTACAATGGGGAGAAACTCGTTGGAGGTATTCGGTAAATTGTCTTTGGTCATCCCTCTCGCAAAAGTTCTGAATTCGTTCTCACAAATTGTCACATAACTCTTCCCATTTTTACCATCTTTGCATATTTCAAAGGCGGTGCCGCGTCGCCTGAACCAATAATAACACTCTTTGTCACAAACAACACGTTTCAATACACCAGATACCAATTTGTACTCTTTATCTCCTTGCAATTCAAGACGGAAAACTACATTATGCACATCAATTTGGTAGTCATTTGTCTTCTCCATCAATTTGTACTTCACTAGAAATATCGGCCGATGCGTTTTGGGGACGATAGGACAACTCTCACTCACACATGGCGTTATTTCTTCCACTTCATAGTTGTTTCTTCCACTCAATGAAATGAACTCTTCAACGCAATCATTCGTAGAAACGTCGTTCAATGCCGTCCAACAATCAATTTCACTCCCCATTGCGTAAATATAATTATAAAGGAGTTCATTCTTTGAATTGTTCTCTTCTGTTCTCACAACACAACTTTTTATTACATCAGACGACAGTAGCGCCGTGAATATCGAATATTTGTATATCGACTGCGTCTGATTGAATCGACAAACAAGTTGATTGTTCATATTGAATTTACTCCTCTTTAATGACCACTCTTGTACTAACGAAATAACTTTTTCTTTTGCGGTATCAAAGACTTCGTCAGAAGACTCATCAACACATTTTTGAAACACTTTCAGCAACAATCTCCGCGACTTCACACAAGTCACTCCAAATGTCGCGTCTTTCATTAATGGAATATTCCCGTCTTCGTATGACGGGAACAAACAATTTGCCAATAAAAGTGCACTCTTTTCAATTGTATTACACGACAAATTCGTGTTGAAAATGCGCGAAACAAAGTAGCTTGCAACATACAATTCAGTGTTTTCAAACCCATTTGGAAAGACCCAATTGCCACACACAAAGTGTATGTGTGACATGAACAACTCCTCTAAATATGTATTGTAAAATGTTCCATCTTTCACGCATTGAGCAACAAGCATCTTCTCGGGACCACTCATCGAGGTGAAGTCAAAATGTGTGTTCAAGTCGAAGGGAATAGAAAGACCCAACTTCTTCATATGTTTGAAAACACACAAAGATGTCACTTCTTTGTTTGCGATAGTCGCCATCTCTGCGAATGAAAGATTATTAACTCGACGTTTCAACTTCTCGCAATGTGGTATCAAAAGTCTGAGAATTGGAAATGCAAGTGCATTAAATTGTCTTAGAAAAAGTATGTCGTGTTCACTCCGAATCACTTCTTCTTCGTCGTCGCTTCTATCGAGAAACACTTTAAATACACTCTCTGAAAACTTCATCACGTCGTCTTCGGTGACTTCAATTTTTGTCGCGTTGAAGTCCATTTGAAACAACAAGGCTAATAGAGTTTGTTCGTATATCACCGTCTCAATCCGGTGATTCTCTGTTCTCTGAATACGCTTGAATAGCGTGGTAATCAAATTCTCGTCTTGAAACACTCTCACAACTCGTTTGGATATTTGTTCATCACACATCAGAGAAAATACAGCATAGGCACTTAATACGTCAAAGTCTCGCAAAAACATTTTGATGTCCCCAAATTGTGTTTTTCCAATTTGTAAAGCGCACGCGGCAACGACGTCCAATACCTCATCATTAAAATTCGATGCGTCAAATTGTCGAATCTCATTCAAAAATTCCGAGACAATTTTTGGAGTTATAAGTGCCATGTCTCCCGTTTCTACAAACAGTGGGTTGTTTTTAGACAATTTTCTACTCACGTGTTTTCTTTTTTTCTTAACATTTAAAACTGTTTCTTCTAATGTATCTCCCAATGCCTTCCTTTGAAATGATTTCTTTCTATACAAATCGTCAACACTCAATCCCGTTTTTTGAGAGATGTACATCGCAGTTTCTGCATCAAAAAATCCAATCTTAGGGAAAAATGATGGGCTTTCGTCTCCTTTTGAGAACGGGAGATTGTAAAGTGTTGGAATAAAAGTTTGAAGTTTGTCTCTTTTAGGGAAATAAAGGTTATGTGAAGGGACTTCGGTGCAAGAAAAAATGGTACAAAATTGAAGAATTGTTTGGTTGAGAGAGTAAGTAAAATTCTCGTTTGGGGATGTCATATACCAATTCAAGATTGCTTACTAAATAAGTATATCAGTTCATATTTTATTATTATAGTTTAATTTATTATTGAAATAGTTTTATAGTTAAAACCTCAAAATGTTTTTGAGTTTGTATAATCATTTTATCGGACATTATTATATAGTTTTTGAATTGAATGATTTGTAATTGTTATATTCATTACCGAAATATTACAAATTAAAATCTTAGTCATTTTGATTATAATGTTATAAGTATATTAAATAAAATATTATTTATTTCAATGAGTTATAATATGGCATATAAAGTCCATAATAAAAAACTATAAAACATTAATTTATGACTCACACAATCAAAGGAATAGCATGCGACTTTGGCAATGTTTTATTTGCGGACGGTTCTATTGAAGCTGTGAAAAAGCTTTCCAGCCAGTACGACAAAGACTTGATGATGTATGTACTAACTTCAAAAAGTGAGATGGGGAAACGTGTTCGAGCAGAAGACACATATTGGCCGACATATGAAGAGTCCGCCCGAAGAATTTTAAAGGAACACGACATTTCATATGATGAGGTAGTGGATGTGTGGTTCAATTCATATACATTGAACACTAAAATGCTTCATTTTCTTCAAAGAGCCAAAGTTAGTGGAATAAAGATTATAGCATACAGTGGCAACATAAGAAAACGAGTTGAATTTCTTTATCAAAAGTACCCCGAAGTACCCAAAGTGTTTGATGTTGAAGTTTTCAGTTATGATTATAATATGAGTAAAGAGAATATTGTGTTTACTGAACATATGGTCGAGAAGTCTGGACTCCAAGCAAATGAAATTGTTTGGATTGATGATGTCCTTCCGTTCAAAGTTTTTGCAGACAGAGTTGGAGTCAACTTTGTGTCATACAGAGACGAAGCCAAGTTCATCGAACAGCTGAAAGAGCATAGTCTTGACAAGTATTGGGAGTGATTAATTAATTAATTAATTAATTTAATTTTTATTAATTAATTAATTAATAATTCATTCACACATTCAAAACAATTAAATTCAGTGACATGTTATAATTAGTTCTTTTTAATGCCTTAATAATGCGTTGCACATGACGATAGCAACACACTTATTATATAGAGTTTGTATTATTTAATTAATATTTTAATTAAATATTAATAAAAGTGAATTAAAAGAATTTACCACCAGAAATGGGAACCGAAAACTACTCATTTTTTGAGCAATAAATTACACATAAATAATACACATTTTATTAATGAATTGTTGTATATTTATTATATACCAGGGTCGATAAAAATTAACTGATAGTTCCATTTACTATCGTTTTGGTACAATAATTCAAGATTAAGTTAATACTAAGCACTCGGGTGCGTATAAAATGGCCATAAAAAGTGTTACAAAAAAATGCTGACCTTTTCGATCCGAATGTGTAATTCTTGTCGCGACAAAATGTTTTGAAGAGATCTGAAAAAAAGAGATGTCGTTGAATATCACCTCGTCTGCTGCAACGAGTAAGAGTAAAATCAATCAGTTCATGCAGACCACTTTATTAATAGAAGAGCAAAATCTTGTGATAGGAAAACTCGTAGGGACTGGGCAGTACGGTTCCGTATACAAAGCGACTATAGCGGGGACGGCAGTTGCTTTAAAAGTGCCGCACCACAGTTTAGAGGGACAAAAGATGGATGACTTTATAGCAGAGATGAAAAACCTTCGTGGGTCTTGTCATAGGAATGTCGTATTATTTATTGGATTAAGTAAGATCCAAGGACATATATGTATAGTCACTGAATTTGTCCCTGGGGATTTAGACCATTTAATACACAAACAGACTTCAATGGAGTTGAAGGAGTTCTTAACGTGTAAATTTACGTTTGACATGAAGATGAATATAGTGTATCAATGCTTGCGAGGTATTCAGTGGGTGCACAACAGATACAATTTAGTCCACCGGGACATCAAACCGTCGAATTTTCTGATTGACAGTAATTTCACAGTCAAAGTGTGTGATTTTGGCTTCGCCGAAGTCGTGTCACAGGCTTCCGTCAAACAGCGGGGCACGCCTTTGTACGCGGCGCCCGAGACTTTGAATGGGGATGCTTCAATAGGAAAAGAGAGTGATATCTATAGTCTTGGTATAACCATATGGGAGTTATTTTATCAGCGATATCCATTCGAAGAGTACTACGATGCGTTTGAAGATGACTCCGAGAAGTTTAGAACATACTTAAACTCGGGAATACGACCCGTCTTGCCACGAGAGTATCTTGAAGAAAACAAAGATGAAGACCACAAAGAGCAGTGTGAACAGGTCAATAGTATCTACGGCGAAGGGATGAGAACGACGCCAGTTGAAATGGATGAGCTCATGAAAAGCTGTTGGAACAGTGTTGTCTCTAAACGGCCGACGATCAATGTGTTAGTGGACAAAGTTGCTTCATTGCAGTTAACGAAAACACTTGGGAACAACAGTGCTGCGGTGTGGTGGAAGGAACACTTTTCGAATCGAGGCGATGCGGAGAATGAAGTCACTGTGTATGAGTTCATCGATGCACTTGAAAAGACGCACAAATTGACTCTTGAAAAGAACGAACTCTTATGTACTGCGCTGAGTGAAGACAACGAAATCACTCATTACTACTTCGCCTTCTTAATTGGGACATTCGGGTACTTCTTCAAGAAGAAAAAACTGTTCAAGAACATGTTAGATACAATCAAATGCGAGTGGTACTGTCCTAAGATCTCTCGAGAGGTCTCGACGTCAAAACTTGAAGGTAAAACAGACGGGACTTTTCTTATCAGAGAGTCTAAAAGCACTCCAGGCAACCCTTTAACCCTATCTAAAAGAGATAAAGGAAAGACCATCAATTCGCGCATCAAATGTGATGTTCTTGACGAGAGTAAAGTGGTCTACTCCGTCCAAACCAAATCTAAAGAAGTCAAAGCAGAGTCTGTAAAAGATTTAGTCGAGCAACTCATTCAAATGAAAGTCATATCAAAGCCATGTACTGATGAAGAAGAGTCTCCCTATTAATTCGTTGTTTTCTATTGGAGTCTGTTTTTTCTTAATAGTAATATTAATAATAAAGTCTGTTTTCTATTTAACGATATTGGGTTTTTACTATTATTTATAATAAAAGTATTATAATTTATAATAAAAATAAAGTGGTTTTTCTAAAAAATGGCTTGTATTTTATTTTTTTGTTCTTTTTTTATAAATATGTGTTAAAAATAACAAAAAACGAAATGGCTAAACAACTGAAAAATTATAAAGCTAAAACGAAGAATAGGTTGGTCTTGAAATGTGAATACGACTAAATAAACTATGTCAACCGGGTTATTCAAAATGAATAAAATGTCATGTTAGATAGAGTAGACGCGTCAAATTATCATTTGGGTCATATCGAAGACGACAACAAGTGATTTGGAAAAAAAGTCAATGCCCAGGATTTGTTTACCATTAGTTTTAATTAATGACAATTTTATTAATAGTTAATGGTTTTTAATTAGCGATATTGAGTATTGTAAATAATGGTTTAAT